CCTGTTGGAGTCCTTCTTTGTTTAAATCCATTAAAGTAGAACCAGAGCCAGTGCATGAATGAATGTCCAGCTTTAGCCTGCTATGGGGGCATAATCACAAACCCAAGGCTCAGGAAATCTGGGTTCCTGTTTCAGCTCTGCTTCTCAATTATCTTGATACTTTGCGTAAACCATATCCTGTTCATAGCTCTCCACTGAACATGCTAAAATGGAGGGCAGATTTCATGACCCCTTCAGGTCACTAGCGATACCTTGTTCCACACTGTATCTGATGGCAGGTGATCGAAGAGAAGTGGGAAGGTGGCTGTCAGATGGATCGAAGACTCCACCTGCCTGTGTTTCCTCTTCCTTTACACCGTGGTGAAAAATTGGGAAATGTGGAGATGGGAATCAAGCTGAGCTGCATAAGCAGAACTACAGAGCTTTCTATCTTGCCCCTTCCCCTTGCTCAAACTGCAGTCCCTGCCCAGGATTTGAGCACCCAGCTGTGCAACATACAAAGGTATTTATTGACTCTATAAACAATCAATACTATAATCACTTTCTGCAGTGATCTCCAGCCCTGAATTTCGTTGTGTTATATTATATCATCTGCTGCCAACAAATTGCCCCTGTGGCCCAGGATAAGTCTAACTTTTCTTTAGCTCAATAGTTCTCAATCTTGGCTGCACTTTGAAATCATCAGAAGCTTTTAAAAAGTACTGATGTTCTGGCCTCAGTCCCAGGACTTCTGATATAATTGGTCTTGGGTGGGTCCTGGACCTTGGAAATTTTTTAAGCTCCTGTCTTAGTTACTTTTCTTGTTGCTGAGACAAAATACTCCACACCCAAAATTAAAGGAAGAAACGTTTAATTGGCTCGTTTTGTAGAGGTTTCAATTCACAGTTGGCTGGCTTCAAGGCAGGGTTGCATTGCAGAGGGGCATTGAAGATGAGAAACAGTTCATGGTGGGCAGAAGGCAGCAAAGTATTGAAGCAGCAAGCAGCAACAAGCAATGGCAGTAGCTGCAAATGACCACAAAAGCCCTCTTTTTATCTGTTACATAATATCAAAGCTATCTAACTTAGGGTGGGTAGCACTAACACCCAGGGTAGGGTACCCTTAATTTTAGCACCATTAATCCCAGCAATCTCATCCTTTAACACAGCACTACACACCCTAGATCCAGCCACCTCCCAAAAGCCCCACCTATAACTGAATGAGGCTTTGGGAAGGGACATCTAGGTACAAGATATAACACTCCCCAAGCATATCTTGCTCCTTGGCCAGAACCAAGACTCACTGCTCAAATTCCTGCTGGATGAGTTGGAACAAGGGGCTTTTTGCAATTTGCCCTCTGTAGGGAATAAGATTGCTGGCTTTGACAGAGAACACAGCTGGGTTCAGGGCCTATGACATCAGGTGGATGTATGTTTCTGCTGTGTCTTTGTCTTAGTGCTCTGCCCTCCTATGGTTGGTGGTAAATGAATCTCAACCACAGTGAAAATGCATATAATAGTTTAATGTGTTGCCTTTCCAGCGGGCAGAGACCTCTGTGGGTGTTAACACAGAGGACTTCGTAACTGTAGGACACAGGGTCCATAGAAGTGGTATGAAGTGGTCCCAAACCTGATTTTCCCCCTCACCCTCGTCTCAGGAAGTGACAATCCCACTCTTCCAGTTGACTCCTTGCTTTCTCACTCCCCACATTTAACCTGTCAACATGTGATCTTGGTTCAGTATACAAAATATATCCAGAATTCACTTTGCATCATCTCCATTATTACTACCCCAGCCAAGGCCTCCATCATATTTTAACTGTATTATTGCAGTTATAGATATTGCAGCTAGATGTATATCTAACTGGTGTTCCTACTATTGCCGTTGTCCCTAATTGCTTTTTTCTCCACAGCACCAAAGATATACTTTTAAATGTACTTCAGGCCCTATCTGCTCAAAACCCTCCAGTAGAATGAAATTTTCATCATAGCTTACAAGATCCTATATAACCAGTCCCCAGCTGTCTCTCTGAACACTTCCCCTCTGACTCCTTCCTCTATCACTCTATTTCAGTTTTATTAAGGTTTCTTGCTGTTCCTTGCCCAATCCTATTGCCCTCTTTTATTGTTCTTTCTGCCTGAAAATCTCTTTCTCCAGACAGCCTCATGACTGTCTTTTTTTGTTTTTACTTCCTTCAGGTCTCTGCTTAAATGCCTCCCCATAATCCAAGCTACTCAGGAGGTTGAAGCAAGGAGGTTAGAAGTTCAAGGGCAACCTGAGCAACTTAGTGAGATCCTGTGTCAAAATAAAAAGTAAAAAGGGCCATGGATGTAGCTCAGTGGTAGAACACTTGCCTAGCATTTTCTGTGGGCTATGTTCAGTCCCCAGTACCACAAAAAAATAAAATAAAATTTAAAAATAGCATCTCCCCATAGAGGACTTCCCTGACTGTTCTGTCTAAAGTACGCCCCGAAAGTCCCACTTTTTTTTTTTTTTTTTTGGTGCCGGGAATTGAACTCAGGACCTTGTGCTTGCCAGGAAGGTGCTTATGCCACTAAGCTCTATCCTCAGCCCCAGGTCCCACTTCTGTGCATACATCGAAAGGAATTGAAATTAGTATATCAAAGAGATGTGAACATTTAAGACGTGAGCTCAACCTAAATGTTCAACAAATACATGAATAAAATATGGTATGTGGGGCTGGGGATTTAGCTCAGTGGCAAAACGCCTGCCTGTCAAGCGCAAGGTCATGAGTTCAGTTCCCAGTACCAGAGAAAAACCAAAACCAAAAAAAATATATATATATATGGTATGTATACACAATTCGGTATTATTCAACTTTAAAAAATGAAATTCTACATTGATAATTTCCTACCATTTTGTCTGTAATTTGCTAAGTCCCCCCTATTATTATGTTATCCTTCTTTTATTCTTTAAAATAAAAAAATACAAAAAATTAAAAAATGAAATTCTAGCTAGGAATGGTGCCACACTCCTGTAGTCCCAACACCCTCAGAGGCTGAGACAGGGGGATACCAGGTTTGGGCCCAGCCTGGGCAGCATAGTGACTTAGCAAAAACTTGTCTCAAATTTTGAGATTTTTAAACAGAGCTGAGGAGGTAGCTCAATCCCTAGTAACCCTCACCCCCATAAAAGGGAATTCTTCTGTCGCAGCAACGGGGATGAACTTGGAAGACATTATGCTATGTAAATTAAGCCAGATGCTGAAAGATAATCTCACTTATATGTGAAATCTAAAGACATCAGGCTCATTGAACCAGAGGAGAATGGTACTTGCCAGAGGCTGGAGGCATAAGGAAGGGATAAGGCGATGCTACTAAAAAAATACAAAGTTTCAGTTATACAGGAGGAGTAAGTGTTTGAGATATGCTGCACAGCAGGGTGGCTGCAGTTAATAACAATGCATTATAGGTTTCCAAATGGGTAAAATAACATCCCCACCCCTCCCATCTTTCCGTACTCATTCTCTTCTGTGCCCCGGTACCCTGCAGGGAATATGTTCCAAGACCTGCCGTAGATACCTGAAACAACACATAGCACTGAATCCTAAGCATCCCTGTGTATACTACGCCCTTTTCCTACACGTACACACAATAAAGTTATAAAGCAGGCATAGTAAGAGGTTAACAACAATAACTAATAATAAAATAGAATAATTATAACAATGTGCTATAATAAATTTTTTTCAAAATAGAGGAATTGTTTACTTCTGGAATTTTCCACTTGACATTTAGAAACCATGTTTGACTGTGGGTAGCTGAAAGGGTAGTCCTTATTTGCTGCCTAAAAGAGATGTGTTTATTGTCTGTCTGTTCCTGCTAGAATGGATGCTACAGGAGATCGGAGAGTTCTGTCTGTCTTGTTCACTCCTGTATTCCCATCACACAGAGCAGTATTTGTCAAATGAATAAATAAATGCCTCCCAGAGACATGAAGATGCCCCCCAGCATGACTTCTGCATTCCCTGGCTGCTAGGGTGTGAGGAGCTCAGCAAAGAGCTGGAATCTTACCCAGGAGGGATTGGTTTCCGGGCCCCCAAGGATACCCAAATCTACAAATGTGCAAGTCTTTTATATAAAATGGCATAATATTTGAATGTAACCTACCCACATCCCTCTATGTGCTTTAAGTCATCTCTACATTATTTACAATACCTAATACAATGTAAATGCTATGTAAATGATTGTTACATTGTTTAGGGAATAAAGCAAAGAAAGAAACCTGTACATGTTCTGTAAAGATGCAATTTTCTTTAAAATATATTTGATCTGCTACAGGTTGAATCCCAGGGTTGCAGAACCTGTGGATACAGAGGGCTAGATGTAGTTTCCAGAATTTACTAATCATACTTCCTGCTGAATTTTGGGGAGCGTTTTCAAGAATTACAGAGCCTAGCTGATTCTGTAGGCATTTCTTACAGAATTGGGTAAACAAAGTGGTGCAGAGCCGAGAGGTAGAAAGCCTGGGTTAAATCTCTCATATCTCTCCTCCCAAATAGTGTAGAAACTGGATGAGTCATTTTAGAGTATTAGATCCCCTTTCTCCCACATCTAAAATATTTATTATGAGCCTCCTTCCTAGGGGCAAGGCATAGCTGTGAGATGAATGGCATAATTTATATAAATCTTTTGGAATGCTTATATTCAGATGTAATGGAATCCACCCTCAGGTACAACTCCTACTAAGAAAACCAAATAAATAAAAATTCAATGTATGTTATTACTAAAGAATTTTTGCAAACTCCCTAGACCTTGAGCACTCATAATGGCATTTAATTTACCCACATTTGATTCATGCCCAGCTTTCTCACAATACCCCAATCGTATAGGAACGTACTCCACTCACTGGCTTGCCCTTAGTAAGTAATCAATATTTATTTGCTTACTCCTTGATCAGTAAGGCAAAGTGCACCTGTACCAGGACATCTTAACTCTGATGTGACAGGGACCGGATTTCCCCCCAGAGACGGAGAACTCACCAGCCCTCTGTTCTTTTTCCAGTTCCCTAGATCAGCCTTCATTAGTGCTGCGAAGAAGGCCAAGCTGAGATCCAATCCTGCGAAGGTTCGGTTTTCCGAGCAGGTAGCAATTGGAGAAACAGATGCAGTAAGTACACCCACAGTCGCTTCTCTTCAGCCCTGGGCCAGAATCAGCTTGGCTGTTGAGATCGTGCTCTGGAGCTCCTTGCAATGGATGGAGTTGTGAAGGGGTTGGAATGGCAGGCATTCCAGTGCTGTGAGTGAGGGGGTACCGAGTGGAGAGGAGTGAACAGCATCGAGAGAGGCCTTGGGTATCGGAGGGAGAAGAAAAAAGTATTGATTCACTCAGGCGCCTCTTGGTGCTTAGAGAAATGTCTGTCCCTAGCACAAGAGCTTACACTCAAGGCAAGTGCTCCATAAATATCGTTTGGCTACTTGATAGGAGCAGGAAGGAAGTAATGGTTTTCTGAAGATCAAAGAACAAGTGGATGGCGAAATTGAGCTCTCTTCACATTTAAGTGGCCCTGCAACGCCACGTCTTGCCTGTAGAAGACTCACAGTGATGGGTGAAGCTGCCTGGGGAAATGACACAGACTCTCCTTAAAACTCCAGTTTCTTATTAGACACCTGCTGTGTTCCCAACATCGCAAGGGGTGCAAAGCAAATGCCTGTTTCCTGCCAGTGGACACCTCTCCGGTGTTCTAGGGACACATGGTTCAGATTGAGACAGTAGAATATCCACTGCCGCGTGGTTGACAGCCCATGCCACTCAGCTGCCAATGGGGGGCGGTGTCTGACCAGCCCATGGTCTTTCTTGCTGCCTTAGTTTACAGGCAGCGAGCTGTCTGCTCCTGATGGGCCGATAAGAAGAGGTGGGTGGGGAGCACAAAGGTGTGTTCAGAGATCAAGGATTCTTGCCCAAAGTGCCCCAGGAATCTGTGGGAGTTGGTGATATCCCAGTGGGACAGGGATAGCTGGAGCTAGCCGGCACTCATGTGCTTTTGTAGGCAGTAGCGAACTGGGCTGTCAGAGGCCTTAGCATTTATGTACTGAGGCACAGCTGCAGTTATTGAGAGAAGACAGCAGGCCCAAAATGAGCAGGGAAATCAGCAGGATGTCAGGTACCTCTAGAGTTGTTTGAGGCAAAGCCACTCAGAAGAAGGGATAGAGAATACAGGTATCTCCCATCTCCATTTCCCTCTCATCCCCCAAACCAGCCTGTGATCTCCATTCCTGCATAAGGAAGGCTGGGAAGCCTAGAGGACTAGAGGACCCCCTTGGCAGGCTGGTTGAGTAATTTGTGATAGGAAGCCATGTAAATCCTCAAAGCAAAGGTTAAAGAGAAGCAAAGATTGGTGAACACAGAGGAGAGGGAGCACGATGGAGCACCTACAGATGAAGGCAAAGCAGACCCTGAGGTTCAAGTCACCAAGTGGACGTTTGTATCTTGAACCCTTGAAAGTCCTGAGGACATATGACTTGAATTTGGAAAGTATGGATGATACATCCTGTCCCATCTCAACATTACAGAGAACTCAGCCAAGGCCGGGGCACCCAGTGAAGAGCTCCCTGCCCTCCTCTCCCTTTCCTTGTTCTTCTTTTTTCTTTCCTCTCTTCCTCTTCCTTCCACTCTCCCTTCACCACTCTCTCTCTTCCACCATGCCTGCCTTTTCCTTACCTCAAAGTCAGGCCACAGGCACAATAAAGCCCCTAGTGCAGTCCAACCTGAATCCAAATGCCCCAGAGTAGCCAGAGCGCATCCAAAGTCACTTCTCTCTTCTGGATAGGCCACCAAGCATTGTTCACGGCTCCTGTCTGGGAAAGAGACACACATCAGTCTTCCAACTCACTGTGCTCAGGAAATTGCCTGATGTCACAGCAGTGCCTCATCCACCACTGCCACGGGTGTGGACCATAGCAGCCTATTGGGACCTGGGGGAGTCCAGGTCCAGGTGACTCCAGGCTAGCCTATTATCCTTCTCCCCTCATGTTCCAAGGCTTTATTAAGCAGCAAGAGCAAAAATAAATCCTGTGGGTGCTCCTTGCCAACTCCATTTTGAAGCAAAATCAATTAAGTAATTATCTGAGTCCAACCCAGTGTGCTAAATAAAATCTGCCACTGCTGAGCATCGTTAGCCTGGGGATCCAGGCCTCTGGGCTTGGCAGGAATGAGGCATCTCATCAGGGCCCACAGAGGACCAGGGAGCCACACTATTCCATCTTGATAGCCCCTCGCTTGCCATCTTGGCTTGACCCCAGGAAAATTTGACTCCTGGCTCCTCACTTCTGCTAGCCACGCTAACTCAAGAGGACTTGCTTGTGTCTTTTTGAATGCTTTATCTGTGACAGTCACTAGATCTGGGAGGTTGTCTTTTGTCTTTCTGATAATCCATGTCTACCATCTCTTTTGAAATCAAAATCCAGTCTTACTTTGAAAACCTTGTCCATCTTATGCCTGTTGGTTTGTTTTGGTTTCTGTATGTGTGTGTGTGTGTGTGTGTGTGTGTGTGTGTGTGAGAGAGAGAGAGAGAGAGAGAGAGAGAGAGAGAGAGAGAGAGAGAGAGAGAAGCTCCCTCAGAGGGAGCTTCTCTTCTGTGCAGTCTGTGAGCTCCTGTGGAACTGGTAATGCCGGCCCAGGGAAATGGTTGCAGCCTTCTCATGAGTCTAATCATTCAAGTAAGCACATACTAATAACCTACAGCTTGTTCATTGAGCAGCCACTTACTGGGCATCCACTGTGTGCCAAGAACTTTGTTGTAGGGACTGCAAAGATGAGTAGATCTGGTGGTTGTGCTCTGAGTTTACAGTTTGGGAGCAATAAATGTTCTTCAAAAATATGAAGGTATTGAGAGAAGTGTGTATAAATTGCTCTATGAGCACATAGGAAGACCACTGGACCAAGGCTTTACAGGATACGTATTTGAGCTGAGTTTTAAAGGATGAATGGACATTTGTCAAGGAGGGAAAGGGGAAGGCAGAAAGAATGGCCTTTACTTAATGAATTGTTACTGAGAAATTAACATGTGCCATTCTATAAAAAAGAAGCCCCTGCCTGGGCCAGAAAAATGTATGCTAAGAATTAGCAGGTGTTCAGAAATGGGCCTCGCCGGTGGTTTCCAGTCAAGGTCAGTGCTGCCAACTCTCCAACAGCTTTCGGAAATATTTGAGGGTGTTTTGGATCATCCCAGTGATCTGTCATGCTACTGGCATTTAGTGTCAGACATGCTGAGTGTCCTCCAGGGAATGAGACAGTCCCGACAGTGAAGAATTGTCAGAGATACGGAGGCATGAGAGAGGCAAAGGTACTAGAAATGATAAGACACGAGTCCAGAGAGGAAGGCATGGGCTAGATCAGAAAGGGCCAGGAAGCTGAGCGTGGAGGCACATGCCTGTAATCCTAGCCCTCTAGTTGGCTGAGGCAGGAGGATCACAAGTTCCAGCCCAGCCAAGACAACTTAGTGGCTTACAGAGATTCTGCCTTAAAAGAAAAAAGAAAAAAGGGATGGGAATGTAGTTCAGTGTGAAGGCCCTGGGTTCAATCCCAACTACTGAAAAAAGGAAGGGAGGGAGGGAGGGAGGAAGGAAAAGGAAAGGCCAGAATGCCATGAAGGGGTGGGAGTGGCAGAGCAGAGGCAAACAGGGGCCACGCCTGAGTTTGCGAAGGGCCTGAGGGAAAGGGAAGTATCACGAGAGAGGCTGAGGTGAGTGAGGTGGGCCGAAAAGGGGCCTTTCATGGACCCTTCAGGCTGTATGTAGTAGTCCTTATAGCCCAAGCACAGCTCAGAGCTGTGGCGCTTTGAACCGCAGTAGAATGCAAGTGCATGTGATGTCAAATAAACTATTGACTTTTGCTATGGCCCGGTGTCTTCTTTGGTTTTGATCTCCACATAACATTATTATTGACCTGCTTTTTCCTCTGTCTCTGTCCTCCCATCCCTTGGGTCCTTTTCTCCTTTACCTCCTCCCTCCTCCTTGCCACACCATCCTGTGGCTTCCCTCCTCCTCCTAAATGAGCCCTCTCCTCTCCCTGCCTGTTCGTAGAAAATGATGAAGAAGGAAGCCCTCCTCCTCATCCCCAATGTCCTGAAGGTTTTCTTAGAAAACGGGCAGATCAAGTCATTCACTTTTGATGGCCGGACCACCGTGAAGGTACATACAGAGTCTCCTTGCCTAGGTCAGCTCTTGGTCCCATGCTCCTCTGACGACGCGTGTGGCTGCGCACTACCAGAGCAAGGTGGCCTTTGACCTCCGATGCTTCCTGAGGTTTCAGAAACGCAGTCCTCAGATGAGGCTGAGGGTGGAAATTTGCATGCTCAACTGTGTGCCGCTCATTGCAAAAATATGCGAATGCCCACGTGGGCACAGGGATGCATGTCTGCTTGCCCACTGCTTTATGTACACGTTACACACGGTCCTCCAGGACACTTAGGAACTAGGAAGTCTGAAGACCAGCAAGCCGGTTATAAAGCAAAAGAGATTTATATTAATATATTAGTAACACCTACACAAGTTTACACACAGAAATAAACAAATGCAATCTCTTGAGACTAGCTTAGCCTTGCCTTGCTTTTTGCATAACAACCAGATTTTATCCACTCAACCAAGATTTGAAAAGCCCAGCCCCAACCCCTTTGGCTATTCTTTTCACAGACAGAGCAATTACAGTACTGAACTCTGATTCTTAACAGCTCAGCCAGGCGTCAAAAAGTCCTAGTGATTTTCTTAGACCTGAGGAGTAGAGGCGATGGTACAATTCAGCCCTAGGTTCACTCTGCTCTGGGACATAAATATCTGTTTGTACTTTGCCTGGACTCTCCAGAAAAGGAATGCCAACCCCAGAATGAATTTTTAAATGCAACCAATGCTCTCCAAACTGCTGGGCAGCTACCATACCTACCCATGAAACCTACCTTGTCCCACAGGTGTCCTGAGGTTCCCATGCCGGGGACAAGAGAACGCTAAGAAAACCTTGGGCCAGGAAACTTGCTAGGAGGATTTATCAGGTACTCAGAATGGGCCTTGCCAGTGGTTCTCTACAAGGGTTGGTACTGCGCCCTCCCAGAGAGCTTTTGCAATTGTCTGAGCTGGTTTGGGGTCATCCCAATGATTTGTTGTGCTGCTGGCTTTTAGTACCTGGAGATCAGAGATGCTGAGTGTTCTAGAGGGGGTGAGACCATCCCTGAATGGTGAAGAATTGCTCTGCCCAGAGTTCCACCAGCATGTGGTTGCAGTACAGTGTGCCTAAGCCATATTGATTGAACCAAGAGTTTTTTTTAAATTTTTTATTAGCACATGTATGCAGTACGTAATGATCGCTTTCATCATGGGGAGTTGAACCAAGAGTTTCTTTGGGAAGGTTAGGCCTGGGTGGGTTTCCAAAAGGACCGAGAACCCAAGTGCACTCCTTAGGGAGTCATGGGATGGTCTCTTGGCTACTGAGGTTCTCAGGCTATGGGAGGGAATTTTGAAACAGAACTAGGTTACCCAAGGGGAATCTAAATGTCCCTCCTTCAGACGTGGCTATCTCTTTGTGTTGCATTGTTCCTTGGTATTTGTTCATGGGTTATTTGCCCACTGTACTTTTTTTTTTTTTGTACCGGGAATCAAATTCAGGACCTTGCACTTGCCAGGCATGCTGAGCTATCTCCTGGCCCATTTGCTCACTGTAGATTCTGTCTCCACACTGGAATGTTCACCACCCTCTCTTTCCCCTTGGAGGATTCTCCAAACATTCTGCTGTCTCCTCATGGCTTCCATCTAGCCTCAGTTCTGCAGGACAGCAGTGTTCCTCTCACTCCTGATGTCAGTCTGACTTCAGGAAGGGTACACTGGCTATTTATTGGAACTTTGACAGGTTGCCAAGCCATTTGTCCCAGAGAGCTACCTGGGTGAATTGACAGCCTGGCACAGCGACCATTACACTTGTAATACCAGTTGGCAATCACTAGTTTGGCCGTTCACACTCCCAGTGCAGCTGAACTGCAAAGAAAACTTTATTTGTCCCTGCAAGGGCTCTAGTAACGCTAGCCAGCACCTCTGTGACTACTTGGATGATACAAAGAGAGCCTCTCAAGTACCCCCCAATTTCCAGCCTCCCATCTGAATGGCTAAATATCTTCCAGTGTTCACGGAGGGGCTTGCCTGGCAGCTCTGTCAGAGAGCTCTATGTTCCTGTGCCTGCTTCTTTCCAGCGCTGGGGGGCTGGGAGATGCTGACTCCATGAACACGCACACTGGAATACAGGGAATATGCCGAAGTCACAGCAAATAAATAGCAGAAGTCTCAAAACTGACATCTGGGCAGCCCCCACTGATATGTTTCCAGACGCCCTAGTATTAAAAGTAGGGCAGCAGAGCAGACGGAGCCCAGAAGTAGTCAGATTTATGACTGTACCCCAGACACGTGACATAGTTCCTCTGCATGGGCACATTTTTCAAGCTGCTAAATTGATCATCTATAAAAGTCAGCTACGGTCAAAAATGAACATTTGACCAGTAACTCAAGTCATTTGATTTAGATTATGAGTCTAGAAATAGCCTATTTTAATCATATAAATGCAGCGTTTGCTTTTGTTAATCCCTAAGTAAAGGTTGACAGAAAAATCAGAGTGGACATTGTGACTTAGAAGAACCGACACCGCACTTGGTGCTCAGGAAATAATGTGTTGACTGGAAGGAAGGAGGAGGAGACACAGCTACCTGCGGCCCCTGCACCCTCGGCATTCCCCAGGGCCCACCTGTGGGCAGCGCTTGTGGGCCCCTTATTCATCTTGGAGCACAAGGCTTGGGCCACCACAAATGCTAGTGTCTCAGCCTGCTGTACAGGACTGTACTGCTTTGTTTTCCATCCCCGCTCCACTTACAACAGCGCAGAGCAAGACATCACCCTTCAAGGCTCTTTTTCTTCCATAGGATGTGATGGTGACCTTACAGGACCGTCTCTCCTTAAGGTATATTGAGCACTTCGCTCTTGTCCTTGAGTATGCTGGGCCAGAACAGAATCACAAGTTCCTGCTTCTCCAAGACAAGCAGCCCCTGGCTTATGTAAGTAACTCCTTTACCCTGACTTCATAGATTTGCATGTGGCCTGTACTAGAGAAGAGAATTTAAGGCATTTTATATCTGGAAAATGCGTGGTGATATGCTCGGGCAGCTCCCACAAGGCAGGTTTCTTACCTGAGGCTGTTACTACCCAACTCCAGAGTTTTTGGCTATGCCCTTTGTGACCTAAGGAAGGCATGAAGACCATTAGTCTTGATTGCTTAGCAGCAAGAGTGCAGGGTGGCGATTTATAACACAGTACCCAGAATGCCATGTGGGAAAAGGCTGGGGGAAGCCAGGACTGTTGGATGGGATTTCCCGAAGGGGAAGTACCAAGAAATATCAGGGAACAAACAGGGCCAGTCAATATTCCCAGGGAGGGTGGGAAAGAGTTGAAAAGGGACAGTTGGGAAGAATACATTTTCAGAGCCTACGTAGGAGCCAAACAAAAACCAAAACTGAGCCAGGCCTGGTGGTGCAGGCCGAGATAAAAAGGCTCAATATAAATTCGAGGCCAACCTGGGCTACATAATGAGCTCAAGGCCAGCCTGAGCTACACAGTGAGACCCTTTCTCCAAGAACAAATCAAAACAAAAATCAGACAAAAAGTTTTTTTAAAAAGGAATTTTGGAAAGAAAGAATCTTCAAATTCATCTGTCAGCCATATGGAATCCAGAAGCTCACAGGTGAGAAGATCCTCCTTAGAGGGAGATTTAAGTGATCCACCCCCTGCAGGCCTCAAGCAGCCCTTTGCATCGAATTGGTCCCCTTTCCAAACGGGATTTAAAATTTTTTATTATGGGGGCTGGGGATTTAGCTCAGCGGCAAAAGCGCCTGCCTGGCAAGCGCAAGGTCGTGAGTTCAGTTCCCGGTACCAGAGAAAAACCCAAAAAAAAAAAAAAAAAAAAAAAATCTTTTATTATGAAAATTTTCAAACATTCACAAAAGTATAAGAAATATAGTACATGCCCATCCCCCGCTCCAGTGATTACCAGTACATTGCCAACCTCCCTCATCTGTACCTCCAAATGCAGTTTCCACTCTTGAAGCCCACAGTAAGTCATTCATTAGATCTGGCCTCTGCTTGAGGCTGAGCCCCTCTGCATGCTATAGGCCTGAGCCCCACAGAAGAAAGAACCTAAAAAGTTCTCGGGGGGTGCGCTCTTCTTCACTAGTGTCTTAGCATGCACACCCACTTGTTCATATATAGGTCATGTCCTGGATATGTGATTTTATTGTTTTTTTTTTTTTTTTTTTTTGGTTTTTTTCTCTGGTACCAGGAATCGAACTCACGACCTTGCGCTTGCCAGGCAGGCGCTTTTGCCGCTGAGCTAAATCCCCAGGCCTGGATATGTGATTTTAAAATACATCACTTTGAGTCAAAAGGGTAGAAAAGACCTGGCTCCACATCACATTCCCCTAAGGTACAGTGGTCCCCCCTTACCCACAGGCGACACATTCCAAGACGCACAATGAATGCCTGAAACTACAGACAGTACCGCGTCCTAGACATACTGTTTAAACATATACATTCATACCTATGTTAAGGCTTAATTTACAAGTTAGGAATAATAAGAGATTACCAATAATAATAAAATAGCACAACTGTAAAAGCAGTCCATGGTAAAACCTGTTTAAAACTCACAAATTGGGGCTGGGGAGATAGCTCAGCAGCACAAGCACCTGCCTGGGAAGCACAAGGTCCTGAGTTCAATTCCTGGTACCAAATAAATAAATAAATCTCACAAATTGTTTATTTCTGGGATTTTTTATTTAAATATTTTAAGGTCAAAGGTGGCTACAGGTAAGTGAAACCAGGGAAAGTGAATCCTTGGGTAAGGAGACATTACTGAATATAAATCTGCCAGGTGAGGGACAGAATAGGAAACAATATCCCAACTCTGCCCGAAACCCCACTTTAAGGACCTACCATGTTGACTGCCTACTCCAGCCACTGATTCTAGATCTCTCTCCCCCGTGTCTCATCCCTGTGGCACAGGTGGTTCAGCGGACACACTACCATGGAATGAAATGCCTCTTCCGAATAAGCTTCTTTCCCAAAGACCCCGTGGAGCTGCTGCGTCGGGATCCTGCTGCTTTTGAGTATCTGTACATCCAGGTAGAGTCTGGCTTGGGGATACACAGACAGACAGACCAGTGGACAAACAAGCAAACAGGCTATTCTGCCACCACAATGAAGTCTCTATGTAAGTTTTTCCAACTTCCAGGTAGCTCTGAAGGACCTTTCTCTTTCTGCTACCATTGTAATCCATGGCCAAACTGGCTGGCCTGCTGACCTGAGCTGGCTGTGGCTCAAAGTCCTATTTGTCCATACAGAACTCATCAGTTTTCAGGAACATATAAGCCCGGTGACTCTGGAACCTTCACAAGATCCTAAGGTTTAACAAGCCCACTTCAGCTTCAGAAGAGTCTCAATGTCTAATACCCAGCTCTGGTAAGGAGATGGTTCCAAATTCGCTGCATCCAGACAGACTTACTGAGCGAATCCTCTGGGCCAGACCCTACACCAGGTACTGGCAGTCAGATGTAAAGGCAGAGCTTGTACATGCATAAATAAGCACGCTAGAGGCAGGGTTCAAGGTGGGTGAGGGCACGCAGGAAGCAGTTTGCCAACTCTGCATAAGAGAAAGACAGGGGCAGCTCCACAGAGCAGTAGCTACATACATGCTTTCAGCTGCGGAGGATGAGCGGAAGTTTGCCTAGAGAGACGGAGCAGAGGGGACATACTCTAAGGGGTCTTGGCGTTTACAATGCACGGCGGCAGGAGGCAGAGCGGCATGATGAGAGAACACAGTAACTTATTATAACTGCAGCACAGGATGTGATATAAGGAGCAGTATTGAATGAATTGGAGAGAAAGGAAGCAGGTGATAAAGGGCTTGGTAGGGCATGGCAAGCACAGGCTTATGTTATGGAGGCTGGGCACTGATTCTTAAAGTCTGGTCCCTGAACTGGTAGCATCAGCATCAGCCGGGAACTTGCTGGACATGCAAATTCTTGGGCCTCAGCCCAGTTCTACTGAATCAGAAACTCTGGAGGTGGAGCCCAGTGATATTTTAACAAGCCCTCCCTCAGATTCTCTTACCCAAACTGCTTTGAAAATCATTGCTTTATGACACTGGCTTTTAACCCTAGCTGCACGTGAGAGTTACCTGGGAAGCTTTGGAAAATTTGAGCCACCCAATGCATGACCCATTAAATCAAAATCTGTGGAAGTGGGGCCCAAGCATTGGCATTTCCTAAATTCCTCATGCAATGCTAATGTGCAGTCAAGGTTAAGAAATTCTCAGCTGGGGATGTAGCACAGTGGCATAAGTGCCTGCCTGGCAAGCGCAAGGTCCTGAGTTCGGTTCCTGGTACCAAAAAAAAAAAAAAAGAAATTCTTCTGGAGGGTGGGGGCACAGAAATCACAAAAGGAGAATGTCCTGGTCAGATGAGCAATTTCCAAAGGTCACACAGCACAAGCAAGCACGCTAGCTCAGGAACGATGGCAGTTATCCAGAGGAGAAATGATGAGAGTCAGAATCCAGGCTGTAAGGGAGGGGTAGAGTGGGATTCAAGAGAGATTTAGAAAACAGAACTGATAGGCTTTGACTGGCTGAGTGTCTGGTCGAGGTGATATCATTCCTCAAATTAGGGAATAAAAGCAGTGGAATGGGTTTGAGGAGATGAGTTCATTCGGGGACATACTGAGTTCTAGGTGCCCACAAGACATAACACAGCATTTGAGGAGAGGAAAAAACCTCAAGCTTCATCTGCCTCTGATGGTGACCCCGGGGAACATGCTACGAGACATCGTGGTTGTCCTCTCTGCTCTTTCAGACAGCCTAAAATGGTAGAAACATTTCTCAGTGCAAGTTTCTTTACCAACCTTCTGGTGTAAGGTCTACTGCATCATGCCACTGCTCTGCTGCAACACGCAGCTCCACGGCAAGCCAAAACCCAGCGTCTCTAAAGAACTGAAGATGCACTTTTTTAGTTTTGTTTTGTTTTGTGTTGCTTCTGTTTGTTTGTTTGTTTGTCTTTTTGAGACAGGGTCTCACTACATAGTTCAGGCTGGCCTTGAGCTCACTTTGGTGCCCAGGCTGGTCTCGAACTCGCAATGACCCTCCTGCTTCAGCCTCCCCAGTGCTGGGATTACAGACGTGCGCCACCGCGCCCAGCTGAAGCAGTTTAAAAGAAGATCGTTTACTTGAAGGTGGAGAAGGAGGAAGCGAGATGACAAACAGCTACTCTAGCAGAATAGAGAGAATTCGAAATGAATTGCTTGTGGACCTGTTGTCTGCAGCTCCTTTTACTGAGATTCGTGTGGTAGGCTCCTGGAATTTGATTGGCCCCCTGCCTTGTCTTTCATCCGAAGGTTAAAATTATGGGTGGAGACTTTAAGGACAAGTAGTTTAGGTTTAAGGTCTAAGTAAAAGGAAAATTTGTAATTCTGCTGTTAGTCTGCCACCTGAGGCCTTTTTTTTTTTTTTTTTTTTTTTGCTATTCTCTTCCTAATTGCTTGAGTCTAGCTGCCTTTGTCTTTCTAATTCCTCAGACACTACCTACCTTTGCCCTTCCCATTGCTGGAGAATGGCAGGTCAAAACTGCCTTATTTTTGATAAAGCTCAGTGAGACCTTCATCCTGTCCTTTTCCTACCTACAGCTCCCCTTGTCCCCACATTAAGAGGCAGTGAGTTGTGTGGTTGTGGTATGTATTTTTGAAGTTTAGTTCTCATTTTGCTTGCCCTCAGTTTCTTCATTCAAGCTTCAGTGGTTGGGGCTGGGGATGTAGCTCAGTGGCATAAGCACTTGTCTGGCAAGCACAAGGTCCTGAGTTCAATTCCTAGTACAAAAAAAAAAAAAAAAGAAAGCTTCAGTGGTTAGCCTCAGTTCTAATATTTGGGGGTTTTTTTGTTTTTTTGTTTTTGTCTTTTTTGAAACAGGGTCTCCCTATGTAGTTCAAGCTGACCTTGAGCTCACTTTGTAGCCCAGGCTGGCCTCGAACTCGCAACGATCCTCCTGCCTCAGCCTCCCGAGTGCTGGGATTACAGGCATGTGCCACCACGCCTGGCAAAGTTCTAATATTTTGGTTTGTTTGGTTTTTTTCTTCCGGTACCAGGAATCGAACTCATGACCTTGCACTTGCCAGGCAGGCACTTTGCCGCTGAGCTAAATCCCCGGCCCAAGTTCTAATATTTTGGTATTTGGTGGAATGAGCACATCTACTCTTTTTCCTCCCTTTGTGATAGTATGGACTTCAGCTATATCCATTCCTTTTTTTTTCTTTTTGGTAGCAGAAATCGAACTCAGGACCTTGTGCTTGCCAGGCAAGCGCTGTACTGCTGAGCTATATCCCCAGCCCTATATCCCTTCTTTTTTATATTTAACAGCTATATTGAGATCTAATTCACACACAATAAACTATGTGCATTTAAAATGCTCAGTATAGCCAGTTATGGTAGCACACACCTGCAATCCCAGCACTTGGGAGGCTGAGGCAGGAGGATCAGAATTGCTGGGAGTCTCTGGCCAGACCATCATCTCCATCGAGGAATCCTGGGTAATCATGACTATGGAGGAACAAGAAAACAGCCTGTTGCTAGTCACAGGTGCAAGTCTCTCGGTCCTTCTTTTCAATCCTGGCCTTCCTTCCAGCCATCATACCTCAGTGAAAGGAGTCACTGGTGAGGAGGTAATATGCTATTTTTGACAACCCTTAGGCTGTAACCACTTATTAGATCCTTCTTGCATATCTCTGTCTTCCTGAGAAACCACTTTGAAGATACCACCACGTATTACAGCAGCCATTGATATTTTCCTACTAATCTATCAATAACTGTGTTGTTTGTAATGTTCCTATCCTATTTCATAATATATGTTTATTACTATGTGTTTCCTACAACAACCATTGAGAATAGTTAATGATTTTTCAATAGGTCAATCATGTTTAGCTCTATTTATATTCTTTAGAAGCCACTTTGAAGATACCAAAGTATAGCACAACAACTCTTGATAATCTCCTACCTCTTTTGTCTCTAACTCACTATTATTTGTCTATTTGTTTTCCTGAGAAACTATTTTGTAGATAATAATATGTAAAACGATAACCATTGATAATTTCCTACCATTTTGTGTGTAATTTGCTAAGTCCCCCCTATTATTATGTTATCCTTCTTTTATTCTTTAAAATAAAAAAAAATAAAAAAGATAAAAAGAATTGCTGGGAGTTCAAGGCCAGCCTAGGCTACACAGTGAGTTTAAGGCCAGCCAAAACTACGTAGAGAGACCCTGTCTCAAAAAACAAACAATCAAATAAAATACACAGTATAAATTTTTACACACGGGGGCTGGGGATTTAGCTCAGCGGCAAAAGCGCCTGCCTGGCAAGCGCAAGGTCGTGAGTTCGGTTCCCGGTACCAGAGAAAAACCAAAAAAAAAAAAAAAATTTATAAAAAATTTTTACACACATGAAGCTAAGCTATCAACATACTCCAAATATTGAATATATCTAGCATTCTCAGAAGTTTCCTTAGGCCACCTTGTAATTCATCCCTCAAGCACTAGGCAACCAGAAACTTGCTTTCATCACTATAGACTAGTTTTCATTTTCTAGAGTGTTTTTTTTTTTTTTTTTTAATCTTTTTGAGGCAGGGTCTCACTATGAGGTTCACACAGGCCGTGAGCTCACTTTGTAGCCTAGGCTGGTCTTGAACTCGCAACAATCCTCCTGCCTCAGCCTCCTGAATGCTGGGATCACAGGCATAAGCCAACATGCCTGGCATCTAGAGTTTACATAAATCAAATTATATAGTATGTATTCTTATTTTGGTCTGGCTTATTTGCTCAGCATAATCATTTTGAGATCCATCCATGATGTTGCATGTATTAATAGTTACTTTGTTTTTATTGTCAAGTATTATTCCATAGTATGGATGTACTAGAATTTATTATACCTATTGATGGACATTTGGGGTGTTTCCAAAACATTGGATATTACAAATAAAGCTTCTATAAACATTCACTACAATCTTTGTAGCAACATATGCTTTCTTTCCTCTTGGGGAAATACCTAGTAATGGAATGGTTTGATCATACAATAGATCTATCTTTCTTTAGTTTCTGTTAAAGAAAACCCAATACTGTTTTGCAAATGGTTGTACCATCTTGCATTCCCACCAGTCATGTATGAGAGTTCCAGTTTCTCCACATTCTTGTCAACACTTAGTGTTACTAGTGTATATTGTTTACTTTAATTGTTCTATAGTGTTTAAGTAGCATTATGGATTCCATTTGCATTTCACTAATGATGTTGAACAAATTTTCACATGTTCACTTCCTATTGTACATCTTCTTTGGTGAAATGTCTGTTCAAATCATTTTCCTGCTTTTTTTATCGGGTTGTTTGTTTTCCTATTATTGAGTTTTGAGAGTTCTTTATGTATTCTGGAAACAAGTCATTTGTTGGATATGTAATTTGTAATTATTTTCCCAGTCTGTGGCTTGTCTTTTCAGGCTATAAACAGTGTCTTTCACAGAGCAATTGTTTGAATTTTGATGAAGTCCAGTTTGTTAATTTGTTCTTTTATAGACAGTGCTTTTGATGTCATATCTAAAAACAAAATCTATTTCTAACTCAGGGTCATAAGGCTCTTCTATTTTTTTCCCAGAATTTCTATCATTTTAGGTTCTAACTTTAGGTTTATGATCTATTTTGATTTTCATGTGTAGTGCAAGATATTCATCAAAATGTGTGTGTGTGTTTGTGCGCACGCATGTACTCGTGCATGCGCCTGCTCTGACATGTATCGGCATATGGATAGACAATTATTCCAATATCATTTGTTGAAAAGACTGTCCTTTTTCCACTTAATTGCCTTTGTACCTTTGTCAAAAATCACTTGTCCAGGCTGGGTGTGGTGGTATAGACCTATAACCCTAGCACTCTGGGAGGCTGAGGCAAGAGGATCACAAATTCAAGCCCAGCCTGGGCAATTTAGTAACTTAGTGAGACCCTGTCTCAGAATAAAAATGACAGTGGTCTGAGGATATACCTCAGTGCAAAGGCCCTGGGTTCAATCCCAAGTACTATACCAAAAGAAATTCAGTTGCCCATATATGTGTGGATCTATTTCTATTTCTGAACTCTCCGTTTTATTCATCTACTTATCTATCCTTATACCAATAGCACAGACTACTGCAGCTTTATAATAAATCTTTGGTTTTTTTTTTTTGAGACAGGGTCTCACTGTGTAGTTCAGGGTGGCCTTGAACTCATTATGTCACCCAGGCTAGCCTTGAACTCACAGCAACCCTCCTGCCTCAGCTTCCCAAGTGCTGGGATTATAAGCATGTGCCATCATAGCTAGCCTATAATAAATCTTAAAATTAAGTAGTATTTGTCATCCAACTCTGTTCTTCCTTTCCAAAGTTGTTTTAGCTCATGTGAGTCCTTTGTATTTTCATGTGAATTTTAGAATCAGTTTGCCAATTTCTACTAAAAACGTGATGTGAGCTAGGTCTGATGGTACAGTCCTGTGTAATCCCAGCACTGTGAGAGTCTGAAGCAGAAGGATCACAAATTTGAGCCCAGCCTAGGCAATTTAGTCTCTTTAAAAAATAAAATAAAATATATATATAGCTCAGTGCCAAAGGCCCTGGTTTCAATCCCCAGAAATAAATAAATAAATGAATCTGGTGTGATTTGCATTGGATTGGTGTGAATCTATAGGTTGGTTTGGGGAGAACTGACATCTTAACAATATTGAGTGTTCCAGCTCATGAACACAGTATTTCTACATTGACCTACATCAACTTTCATTTTTCTCAGTGGCATTTTATAGTTTTCAGTATACAAGTCTTTCACATATTTTGTCAGATTTATCCCTATTTCATATTTTTGATGCCATTATAAACTGTTGTTGTTTGGGTTGGTTTTTGTGTGTGTGTGGTGGTGGTAGTGGTACTGAGGATTGAACCTAGGGCCTTTGCACTGAGCTATATCTC